TTTTGACGAAGTTCGTTCACTATGGCTCCGTGATTTTGATGGTGGAATTTTTCGTGGTAGTGGGTGATTAACAGGGAGGTTACAGGGTGGTCGTTAGGAAGGATCACTGGGTTCTTTGTTTCTTCGGTGGCGTACTGGCATGCGGCTATTCTACTCCGCATTCGCATTACCCTGCGATCGTCTAACCAGGGTGACAGCTTGTATAAACGGCTCGTTTAGGAAGGGTTCTATCTGGTGTATCACTGCGGTTGTTCAAGAAGAAGGCTACTTCATCGGCATAACCTTCTAGTTGAGCTAGGCGAAACAGAAAACCTTCAGCAGCATACAGTTCGTCTCTAGATAGTGGTCCATTTTCAGCTGGGTTGTTTGTACTCCTACGACGGCAGTTTCCGGCAAAACGGTGAACATAAGCAACCACATTGATGAGTTTCTTCCAGCTAGAGAATTTTGAGACGATAATCATAGGATCGGACAAGGAGAGATGTGCCATGAAGGAGGGTCACAACTCGTTGTCTGTAGGATATGACTTTGACGAGACTTTCGGCCAATCCGATTCGCTACGGTAGAGAAAATCGGGACCTCTGAACCACCTGGATTCGGGAGTAAGATCAGGTTGCGTATCCCACTTGGTACCATCATCTGCAACGTTTAGTTTTGACGGTACCCAAAACCAATCTTCCGCTTCTGTAACGTCGAGTATTTTGCTTACACGATGTGCCACGTACGTGCTGTATCGTCGATGATCCGAATTTATCCAGCTGAGCACGTCACGAGAATCGGCCCAGAAGAATTCACGATGTATCGTAGTCTGAAGGGTTTGCGTAACCGACCTTGCTAATCTAGCTCCAATGAGAGCTGCTTGCAGTTCCAGTCGTGGGATGGAGTGGAACTTCAAGGGGGCCACCCTTGTCTTGGCTGCAACTAAAGAGCAGCAGATGACACCATTGTGTTCGAAACGGAGGAACATGGTGGCGGCTATACAATCACTGGGGATCACCGAAGATCGAAGACACCGTGGAATTCTGACGCTTTCCACCTGCGGCAACACTTTCAACCATCTGGCCCACTTCTCGTACAAAGAATCGCTGATTTCTTCGTCCCATTGAACTCCCGCACGCCACACTTCTTGAAGAAGAATTTTCAAACACATCAGGAGGTGAGAAATCAGTCCAAGGGGGTCGAAGATAGTCATGAGGACTTGGAGCATCTGACGTTTTGTGGGTCGACAACGACCGGCGAGCAGATCGGGATTGTAGCGATTCCATCCAATTTTGTACACAAATTCGTCGGCTGTTGTGCACCACCACATCCCTAGCACTTTCTCCGTAGCCATCGGTCCCATCGACATATCCATGTTCTTCTCCGTAGTACTGCTTTCGTTCAGCGCGTTTAACACCTGGCGTGAGTTGCTCACCCAGTTGCGTATTTCGAAGCCACCTGCAGAATGTACTTGCCGAACCTCTTGCGCAAGGTGAATGGCATGCTCAGGCGTCTCGGTGCTAAACATCGCATCGTTCACGTAATGCCGCTTCTTTATAACATCAGCTGCCTCAGGAAACTCTCCAGCAAACCGGTCCACGTTAATATTTTTTACATACTGGGCAGCAGCTAGCGCCGAATGACATTACATTCATTACGTAGACCTGGATTCTGCCAGTCTTGTCCGTCCAGAAGAACCGCAGACACTGTTGATCTTCCAACCGCATAAGGATCTGGTGAAACATTTCCCGTATGCCCCCAGTGACGCCAACCCGGTATTCACGGAATTGCAACAATATTGCAAAGAGTGAACCAGTGTTGGAAAAGTTCGCGATATTTCACGAAGTTCTCCAAGGGAAAAGTTCGCGAGTCATAGTGATTTTTTGCGAACTTGTCCATCACTGGAGTGAACACAGCTGATCGGGACCTGTTAGCAGCGCTTGCCTTCGCTCGATCAAACGAGGGGCCTGCTGGATTGTGGAGATGCGCAGCCAACTAGGGATGGCCAACAAGGCTTGATAATCGTTTCCAAATTACAACGATCAGTATTCAGCCACTGTTGAAACACAACATCTTGTTTGTCATTTGATTCTAATAGCAAAGTAAGTTCCTCTTCAATATGTTCATTGGAAGTACACTTTTCGCAAGCACGGAAAAAGCAATCAGTTGTTCTAGTAGAAATATTACAAAGCACTTTTCTATTATTGCATCCTGTGACATAATTCTTAAACTGTTGATCATTAATTTTACATTTTCATGAATTGTACAAATACATACATTATGTATACCAGTAGAATCAAGCAAAATGCAATGTTTTGGTCGCAATTGTGTAAATACAGTGAAACCAATATTAATATCTTTATATTTATCAACAAAAATCATGTACGCTTCTTTGAGGGACATCATTAACAGGCGTTTTTGAACGTGTTCTTTTCGTCCATTTCTAAACTCGGTAACAAAATCATTTGTTCCAGGCATAGGTCTACTAATATCATTGTCATCAAAAAATTCCCTAACTAACAAACTTAGTTTTATAGTGCTCATAGGTAGAATGAAGTGGTAGGTATATAATGTTAATGGTTTAGGTATAAATAACAGAAGGGCATATAGAATTATGATGCGATACGTTGACTTCCCAAATCGTTGTTGATTCGAAAGAAGATCTCAATTTAAATTTTATTCATAGCTTATTTTTATGGATAATTTGAGCTAAGAATTCTAAGTTGCTGTAGGAGTATCGGATTTTGCCTCAGTAGTAGACAATATAATCAATTATATTATTTTCTAATGATATAAGCCCTTTTCATATGGAATTCTCGATTAATCTAAGTGATTAGTTGCTGATTAGACAAAATTGAAACTCAAATGGAGCTTCATTGGGTTCTGAGATGATTTTGAGCTTCACTGGTTTAGTTTTGTGTAAAAATGGTACGTTTAAAAAATCAGTTCAAACATGAAAAAGTTTTTGTAAGAAAAACTTTTTTTTCCTTAAAAGTGCCCATCTTGCAATGTATGGACGGATGGTAGTAAACACAATTACCTATCTTGAGGCAAAGTTTCATCCAAATCAAACATGGCCATTTTTATTAAATCAACTTTAAATTTTAAAAATCGATTTTTTTTAGTGTAGATCACAAATGAAATTTTTTCCAGTATTTTTTTTCAATAATTTGGTCAATTTCCTAAAAGTCATTCATACAACATATTTTTGTTGGAGTTGTCATTTTTCCATAATATTTTTTTGAAAAAAATCGGCAGAAAAAGTTTGGCCATTCTCAAATGTTAGTCTAGATAAATTTTGGAAAAACAGAGTATGCAAAGTGGCTTATTTAGTCAAAGTCTACACATCCAGAAAATTTTATTGAAATCTGAGAGGGTGCTGCCAGCTTCGATTCGATTTGGCGCGTAAATCAATCTTGAAGAGCTCCGAGAATACATCTTTCAGAACCTTCTGCAGGGTGGGCCAACTAGACAGATTTTAGTCTTAATGAGGTTTTGGTGGATGCATCAATGGCAAAACAGCCTTGCCCTGGGTTTTATGAATGTTGTTTTATTGTAGCTTTGTAGTATTTAATACAACTTAAAATGTTACTTTGGTGTGTCCTAGGTAATAACTTGAAAAGCCATTTGTGTCCGTTTCCTTGATCCCTGTTGAGTAAAGTTGAATTTCATTGTTTGTTGATCTTGAGACTCTCTGCAACATCCAATTTCCATGGTGTAGTTACGGTTTGTAAAATCGTGATGTCCTCCATCGATAGTTGGTGGTCCTCTGTGAAGATGTGTTCTGCAACCTTTGATTTTAAATCATATTGTTTCCTCTTGCTTTTTGACCTTAATAACCTCCGTCACATATTCTTTAAATCAAGTTGCTAAAGTTCTCTTGGGTTGATCTACATATACTTTGTCACACTTTACCTAAACATTAACTGGGTCTTTAGTGGCTCCTAACCAGGCATGGACAATCATTTACATTCATTTCATGCATTCATTTACATTCATTTGCTTCTAACTTTTTCATCAACAGCATTCTGCAAAATGATGTACAGAGCTTTAGTAAGTTTTGTTATTAGCTACAACTTTTGCCCGTAACTCAAATCTGTATCTCTTATGCATCACGAATTAGAGCGGGTAGAACATGTTACCGTTTTTCAGTAAATGTAAAATACATTCACTTAAAAACAGTAGTGCATTCTGTTCACTCTGGTTCATCATGCATAAGAGATACGGATTTGAATTGTTTACAAAAATTGTAGCTAATAACAAAACCTACTAAAACTTTTTACACTATTTTGCGGAATTCGGTTGTTGAAAAAAGTTAGAGGCAAATGAATGTAAATGAATGCATGAAATGAATGCAAATGATTTTCCATGCCTGCTCCTAACAATGATGTTAATTGTATATGTCTACTAGTGAAAACTAACTTTTATCTGTGGTCTAAGCTTCCAAGTAATATCTTGATCAAATGGAACGGACACTCGTTTCATGCTGCGTCGTATTTACAATTTTTCATTTACCCAGCATTTAGCTTCTGTAAATTATTTCAGCTCATCACAAAAATCAAAGTTGATAAGTTTAAGTGACAATAATTGATACTTTTAATCAGGAAGCTTTTCTAACAAGTTTGTGTTTATCTTACACAAAAAGCGGAAAGTGTGAATCAACATTTCTTCCTCAAATCAAACCACCTAAACTGTTTCCAAACTAGGATGTTATTGTTACAGTCAATCACTTCCACTTGGCAAGTTGTTGCTCTCTAGAGGGCTTCATTCAAAGAAGACAACACCCGTGCAAAGCTGGCAAACGAAATGCACTACGTTAGCGGTGAAATGTCGGATCAAATATCTCAAGCTCATTACACACAAACACAAACACACGATGCAACATTAACATCACATGTGGAGTCAAATTGCGATGGCTTTGGCGAAATGGAACCAAATAATAAGATCATAATTATCGTTCAACTCAAAGCTGCTATAAATATTCACGGATCATCGGTACCCATCATCAGTCTACTCACAGCATCCGATCAGCCTCATCAATAGAAGCAAAAAATCCACCCGTTGGTCCGAAATGTACAAGGTAGGAAAGCGAAGCAATCCAATAAATTAAATTTGATTGTTTATCATTTCGATCTCGTTTCGCTTAATTTGCAGATCATCGTAGCCGTTGCCTGTTTGGCTGCTCTTGCCGCGGCCCTGCCTTACAAGCCGGTGGCTGAACCGGAATATCATGAAGAAAAGGAGGCCCATCACCCCGCACAGTACAAGTTCGAATATGGAGTAAAGGATGGCCACACCGGTGACCACAAGACCCAGTGGGAGCATCGCGACGGAGACCACGTAAAGGGACAGTACACCCTGGATGAAGCCGATGGTGGCCATCGCCTTGTTGAGTATGAATCCGATGCTCACGGTGGAATCCAGATCCAGGTCACGAAAGTTGGCGGACATGGCCCAGCTCCAAAGGTGCATGAACCGGTGCCAATTGTGCCGGTCAAGTCTGGCAAGAGCGCCCATCAACATGGAGGTGATAGCTACGTCAGCTTGAAGAAGCAGCGGTACTAAGTTGAAGATTAGAAAAGAGACCGAATTGTTTGAATAGGAACGTTGATCGTTTCTTGGTTTGGTCGATGTTTCCTGACAAACGTGTGAAAAGGGTCAATCAGTCACATATATTTATTTCTTACAAACAAAAAACGGAATCTGAGAGAGTTCATACCAGCAGGAAGTCGGTCATAGAAGTCAATGGCGAAATGGTAAATTGCTCAGAAATCAAAATTACCACGATTCATGTTTTTCTGAATAAGTGATTCATTGGAAGCTATAATGGTAATTTGTACTTGTTATACTCCGTTCACAATGCAATCTGTATTACGTGATACAGAGTAAATTGATATTAAACGTATCAAGATAGACTTTATAATGTAATACAAGCCATAATGTGAACGAAGTTTATGTTACAAGAAGAGGTTGAAAAGAATGTGTTTATCACATAAAACCTGTCAATTTCGCTTTCAGAGCATCACAATTAACTATTTTATGATTCGTGAGCACTCAGTCAAAATGACCGCTTACGAATCATAAAATTGCTGATTGTGACTCTCTGAAAGCGAAATTGACAGGTTTATGTGTAAAACACATTCGTTTCAACCTCTTCTTGTAACTTAATCTTCGTTCGCATTATGGCCTGTATTACATTATAAAGTTTATCTTGATACGTTTAATATCAAGTCACTTTAACACATTTGGGTCATTAGTGAATTATCCGGGTATGAGATTTGAACTCGTGACTTTGACGTAAGAGATATGCACGATAATCACTTCTCCGGGGCCGTCCTCATCTATTCATGCATTTTACAAGTACAAAATAGCATTATAGCATCCAATAAATCCATAATTCTGTAAAGTTCATCTTAAAAATGATCAAAAGAATTGCTCTCAAACATCTATTTACTTTCCAAAACATACTACAGTTCGGACTCGATTATACGCAGCCCAACAATATTAGCTTCAGACCAGCTTATACAGGCACAAATTTGCTGCATAAGGCAATTTTTAACCTGTACAAGCTTATCTGCAGCTTAAATTGTTACTTGGGAGTTGACATGTTTCCAATTCCATCGTCGATTTATCTCAAACTACAATTCCATCATTCACCATTTAGGGTTGGATTCACTGTCCGATGCTGGTGAGTGATTGAATGGTCGTTTGCAAGAAATTGACGATGAAAGTGAATTATATCAATTGCAAATAATCGAGTTCGACTAATTTTTCAATGAAATAACTAATTAATTTTACAAAAAAAAATACTTAAATTCTATAAATAAGCATTCTAAACAACATCTCTAAAGCCACGACGACTCAAAAGTAATGCAAATCGAGATACCATTTTATCCCTGCAAAAATTTACCTCTGGACAACTATACAATGCAGATAATAGGTGGTCTGTTATCCCTTTCTACACGTTTGTCAGGATTTGATATGTGATAGGTAGCCATGTAGTAAAGAGAATAAAACGTTTTGTCATTCTGAATGCTGTTGTTTGTACTGAACTGGTTTAGTATGTAAGCAGTAAAAGTACAGTAATATGTTTTTAAATAAGATGGTTCACCGCACCAATCATGTTTATTTAGATGCCTGCAATTCACTGATTCCAAAATTTATGCTGGTCAAAGCTTAGGTCGCTATTAAACTGAATCATGGATTGAGGTGTCGGTGGATTCTAGAAACGATGCAATTTTTCTAAAAACTTGACAAAAATTCTTACTATACTAAATTTAGCAAATAGGGGAAATGGATGTAATGTCGGTCTAAATGCTCCTAATGTGGGCCCAATCAGTAATCGACTAAATATTTAATAGCGACAAAAAATATCTCTTAGTACCGTCCCAATGACGCGATAATCTAAATAAAATTGATAACTAGCTGATTTTAAGCAATGGGCCCAATATTAGATCCATAGGCCAACATTAGAGCCATTTCCCATATGTATGCAGACCTATTGGAGCAATTTACGAATCTTACTATAATTACCAGAACCAAGTGAAAGTCAAATCTCACCCTCAGATAAGTCACGAATGACCAAAAAGCGTTAAGGTGTAAATACCTAATAATATATGAAAAAAAAATGATGACGTGACACACACTAATAATAAGCACATAATAGCTATAATTAGTGCGGAAGGTAGGCAAGTTCACATCGTGCTCTATTGCCGTGTGAATCTATTTGCTTTTTGCTGAAGGAAGTGTTACTACCACCTAAAGCTACAACAAATGTGAACAGCATTCGCCGTGCTAAATATTACCCGCAAATGTTCTACTTTGTTCGATTCTTATTCCTCATCGATCCTTGTTTTGACCCTACCCGAGGTAAACCTACTTCGATATCGTTTTGGAAAATTTGTCTTTGATCCTTCGGATTCTTATAGTATTTTTTTTCCTTGATTTGTTTTCCGTCGATCTTGTTTTCCGTGCTGAGCACCAATGCTACCGACGCCAGGGAGGCAGCTCCCACACCTGGACCCTACCTATCGACCCATCAAACTCATGAACCGGGGACCAACGGCTTTACTTCCCTTCCGAAGGAAGACGTGATCAGAGATGTTATGCCTCAGAACATCCCGGCGGCACCGACTGGGATTGAACCCAGCCCTGCTGGGGTGAGAAGCAATCACGCTTACCACTACACCACCGGCGCCACTGGATTCTTACAGTAATCTACTTGGAAGTCGATTTGAAGAAACTTTCTTCAATCTCTTGACCCCCTTCTGATGAAATATATTTTAGCAATCAATTTGTTATGCTCATGGATGATTAGAATGATCCATTATATGTGTGTATGTGTGTCATCCTCTATCCCTCACCGAGCCGGGGGTGTTGGACAAGTAGAACTGTGAATAATTTGATCAAATCTCATGCTCCGTAATGGTGCCCTTTATGTTGTGAAGACTAGTACTTCAAAAAGGGTAACTTTTGAGGCAAGACAGGGTGTCCTCAACAAGTTAAGGGAACAGGATGCACTAGATGTCCACAACAGGTACAGCAAAACATCACAAGAAGAGCCACCGCCGCCAACTAAAGCTTGAACCGGGTACCTGGGACTCCCACGATATACCCGTGGCAATGGTCAGCAGACGATGCCCTGTGCGTATTTAGTATGTTACATGTTTTATTTGGATACACAAAATGTTTGAAGCCATGCGTCATCTAAACCATAATTTGCATCACCACAAATACACTTTTCAACAATCTTCAACTGGAACGTATTCACCAAATCACTACACCCGGGAGCGCATTCCCGATGCTTCCACGCATATTTTTCTCTAGTCATCCCTAAACAATTCGTCCTCCAGCAGCTCCAACCACGCAACAACCAAATATCACTTTTCTTCTTTAAGTCACTCTGTGCACAAAAGCAATGCACATCGCAAAACCCTAACCAGGGTTGGCAAAATCATCAATCAAATTATATTTTTCCGCTCTCATACGCTCTCAATATCACGCGTGATACTGGAACAAAATATCACGCTTGATATTGCTTTTACAAGCTCCTTTGATATTGCGAGACTATTCACAACGTGCAAAAATCAACCGGAGAGTTGACTAGACACAAAAATCATTCCGTTGCACATCATTTTCTTAGAAAGAGAAAGTATAGTAAGTATGCTATCTCTTTTTACTGTTCACCGATGACAGACAAGAAGTGACTGCTGCCAGCCGTTATGCAAATTTCGTTTGCGTTCGGGTGTAAAGCAAAAATCATTAAACTCAATCTCACCACAGTTTGTTGAGATTTGCAGCTGGTGAGTTTAGTTAGCTTGATATTCCGAGCTGCGATATCACAGCTTGCAAAATCAACCGCAGCTGTATGCTTGTTGATTTTTGTCTACGAAAATCAAGCGTGATCTTGAGCATTGATGAGATTTGATTTTTTGATATTTTCCCAACACTGACCCTAACAATAGATCAGCGCCGTTCTCATCACCGCGTAAATAAACTGAAATTAAAATTTTTCACTCGCGATGCCACAAATCTTTAGTCCGGGAGATAAAATCAAACCACGCAGATAGCGCCAAATCTTCTGATGCTTGCAATTTTGCAAACATGATGAATCATTTTTTCTTTCTCGATTCTAAAACTTCTCGGAAAGCGAGAAAACCACCAATCCACCACACACGTATAACCGTCTGGGAGGCAGAGTGCCAGCGCTAATCCGGCAAATGTAGCCGAAAACTATGAAGACGAAAGCACGCACAAAACAGAGAGCAAACTTTAGACACAACCGTATCCGTAAAACTCATCTCCAGAGTGATCCACTATGCAGACAAAATTCCAACAAGAAAGAAAAGGTTTGATAACCACTTCAAATTTTCATGCTCTTCGCACGGAACGATTAATGCGACAGTTTTTAAAGATAGACGCACATCTTTTGCCTAACCCGTACGATGTACGCGGAGACTTGAAGTATGTCTCCAAGTCTACAGGCAAAAAATTTGCGTCCTTCTTTTGCTCATAAACTGACTGCGGCTGTAGAATAGTTCTAGCGACGTTTGCATCACTATCTAAAGCCCCACGTTGCGAGAGCATTTCCAGTCGATGGTGTGTGGGGCTTTAAATAGGTAGTGATGAAAACGTCGCTAGAACTATTCCACAGCCGCAGTCAGTTTATGAGCAAAAGAGGGACGCACATTTTTTGCCTGTAGACTTGGAGACATACTTCAAGTCTCCGCGTACATCGTACGGGTTAGGCAAAAGATGTGCGTCCATCTTTAAAAACTGTTGGATTAATGGCCCTTCGCTCATTTTCAACTTCTATTCAATTTTCATACTGCCGTACTCTAACGGAACTATCCACCTGCCCTCTTCTAAAGATCATTCTCTAGCTAATAAATTATCACACTAAAGCTTCATGTTAGCATTTTCAACCAACTCAGCAAAAAGTAGCTCACCTGAACTATTGCTCTTGCGCAGAAGTTCGGTCTTACGGCGTTTGCTACGATCACAACTATCGTCGAACTCGTTTGCTGGCCGGTGATAGCGGATGAAGAAGAGGGTCCTTGGAAAACTACAACA